ATCGTTGAGTTATGAGTTCTTGAATTTTGAGTATTAAGTTCCTATATTGTCATTGAGATCCTTGAGTTTCTTCGTTCATATTTATGTTTCAACATGAACTCTATTTTGAGTTATAAATCGTGAGAACCCTTTGAATCCAAAATTTGTGTTTAAAACTGAGTTTTGAGGAAAGTTTAAAGAGCATTTTTAGTAAAGTTTTAGGGCTCTATATATTCCCAAATGTATTGTTTTTACATTGAGAAAAAAGAAACTTTAATTTCTAAAAAGATATTATGAGTTCAAAGATATTTCAGAGCAGTTACCTTTTTTAAGAGGATAGTTTGAGTAATTATCTCAAATCAGAAAAGAGTCAGTTTTATACATTTGAGAATGATTATATATTATTGGGAGTAGTATTAAGCACCAATATCATGTAGCCAACATGGGTAAATGATCATACTCTTTAAATGAATCCTTAGTCGCCTTTGGGAATAGCTTAGTGAATCCACTTAGTTGAGGTGTTCTATACCCCAACAAGATATAGGATAGTTCTGGCAGCATGGGTGAGACGCTCTATCATCATATAGATCATAGTGATGGTTGCCAGTTAGAGAATCTCCCAAATAAGAGTAAAGAGTGTGCTATTGTATTTTTATACATCTTAAGTTGATATCTACTTTTTGAGTTTATAGTATTTTTATATACATCCTTGAGTTAGTATTTGCTTATTATGAAGCTTTACATTTTTTATCTTTTGTTATTGCTTTCATATTGGAGTTGAGTTGAGGTGAGTATTGTCTTCCCATGTTATCAGTTCAGTTAAGTATGTTCCACTTTTCCTTTACATGCTCGTACATTCAATGTCTTGATGTCATTCGACTTGCATCTTATAGTGATGCAGATACAAGTGTGTAGGATCATTAACAGGTGGTTAGTTGAGATCATTTGACATTCCAGTTAGCTTTGGTCAGCCTTCTTATATTCCAGAGGACTTCACCTTACCTTGCAGTTTTTAGTTTTGAGATATCGTGGGTCTTTTCCCGATATCGTTCAGTAATAGTAGAGGCTTCATAGATAGATAGAGTTGAGTAGTCCTTAAGTATTTAATTTATTTTGAGTTATTATAGAAACTATAAGTATTTCTATTAATATTGTACAAACTTTGAGTTGAGAATTTCAGTTTAACAAAATTAATTCAGTTTTTAATTCTTTTATTGCTTGAGTTAGTTTTCCGCTTGTAGTCAGCCAAGAAAAGGGTTCACACGGGGACTACCAATGATTCTCAAGTGTCGGCAACATTTAGTGTGTAGGCTCGGGTTATGACAGACAACATCTATGGTATGCGAGAAGCATGATAGTCGATTCCAAATGCGAAACTCTTTGAGGAAGGAGATAAGCAAATTATTTAAATGATCATCATAATGAGAAAAGTGCTTTAAAAAAGCACAATGACATACACTTCGTAAAACCTTGAAAAAAGTTTAGGTACCTGAAAATGATGAAAAATAAAGAGACCTCGATAAGTTATGTCATATTAGAATCGAGTCAATATCCATCAACGATATCTTTGATATGAAGTAGCACATAATGCTATAAATGATTACAAGGATCTTAAATATAAATATGTCATATAGTGTGGACAGATAAATCATTGATCAAATAAAATGCACTATTCAAGTATATTTTGTTTCACTTAGAAAAGTGATGCTTTTGAAATTATTTTTCATAAGTCAAAATATAATGTCAGCGTTGTACAAATGAATAATTGTGTAATGTGCTAAAGTATAACCGTAAGATATAAAGTGTGGTTTGTGCCTCGGGGCATAATGGATTTTTGCAAAAATGCTGACATTATTAAATTGAGATATATTTTTCAGTGGTGGATGAAATGAGACTTCCTTCAGTCTGGCAATGAATAAAATAATTGAATATGTATAATAAATAATTATTATGTCTAACTGGACGATAAAGGTTATATGAAAATCCTTGAAGGAATTAAAAGGTTTTGAAGCAGTTTCATTGAGTACCCAATGGTTCTGAGACTGCTTAACACATAGAAAGAATCATTTTGATATCATGAAAATGATTTTAAAAAATCATGCACAAGTGTAATTGGTGCACTTACAGATTGTTGGTTATGCAAATTCTAGAAGATTATTTGATCTACATAAAGAAAATTAGTTGAAAGGGTTATCATATTATCATTCAAGTTATGCCAAGAAACTAACAAACCAAGTGACTCAACACATAAAAGACGTGTGATTTTTTTTAGAAGAAAAGATGAGCTTCAATAAAATTTAAATGATCAATCTCTGAATTAGAAAATATTTAAATATATAGATGCAAAATATTTATGTGATCCTCATAAAGCTCGATCGTAAATGAGATATTTGTTTACATGTGGAGACACAATAATATTCTTGCATTGAAAGAATCAAACACTAGTAATCACTTCTTTGATCATGCAAAAATAATATTGATTTATGAAATTAGTCGGGAGTGTGTTTGGTTGGAATCATGACCTATCATATTCAAAAATATGTGATTTTTCTTTGAAAAGGGAAATTCCATATACCATATAATACTAAAATAATATATAGCTCAATTGAAGGGAAGATATAATCAAAGGAGACCGGACAAAACATATTTCACCAAAATTCTTTCTCACACATGTTCTTCAACAAAATGGTGAGATACACGTTCAAAAATTCGTTCAAGTGATAATCTTGTAAACTTATTCACTAAGGATTGTCAACATCAAAATTTGAGAAGTTGAGATATAAGATTGGATTGCATCATCTCTAAGATATCAAGTAAAGTTTTTATCAGGGGGAGAAAATAGACGTTGTACTCTTTTTCTTAACCATGATTTTGTCCCAAATTATTTTTCCTGGTAAGGTTTTTAATGAGGAAACTTTCAAAGCGTATTAAAAGATATGTGTACTCTTTTTCCTTCACTGGAATTTTTTCCCATGAGGTTTTTCCTAGTAAAGTTTTAAAGAGGCATATTATTTATGGATATCCAAGGGAGAGTGTTATAAAACAATATAGTATGGATGTCGACTACACAATATAGTATGGATGTCCACTACACAATATAGTATGGATGTCCACTACACAAATAGATGTCCACTACACAAACAGTTACTCTCACATACATTACTTCCCTACATTATGAAGATAACCTCCACCTTTATGACCATATTCTTGTAACCTTACACCTCCATATCGTCCTTCATTATATTGTTGATTAATGTTATGTTTATGACTAATTTGTATGTCTCTATGTTACCTTATAAATAGAGGCATACATGTTCATATTGTACACACTTGAATATTTGGACGAATAAGAAAAGCTCTCATATCTTGTCTACCTATTTATATTCCTTTCATCTTCTATATTTCTTTTCTTATTTTGCCTTGGTCTTACAACATGTTTACTTATTTTACACTACACTACTATTTGTTATCCATAGACAAATAAAATATATAGTTATAATTAACAAAAGAAATATACATTTAAGATAAGTATTTTTTGGAGGGTCAAAGATTTCACCTTTTCAATTATAGAGAGAAATAATTAGTTTTACTAAGAATATAAAAAAGGAAGAAAAATTACAATTGTTTTAGTCATATCATAAATTTTGTGAGTGAATAAAAATTGAAATTAAATCATTTGACTAATTAGTATTTTAGCCATAGCTTACCCATAATTTACGGATGAATATACATATTTTTATAGATTAAAGATGAATTTAAATCCATATTTTATCCAGGTAAAAAATCATGTACCCAACCCAATGGGTAATTATATATTTCTCAGCTTTTGTGACTTTAAGTAGTGCACATGATAGGAGAATCAGATTCTTGTATTATTTGTATAATAATAGGAAAGTTATACACCCCAACAATGATTCTTTGCGAAAAAGTGCCTTGCTTTGACTTGGGTCCTACTAAAAGCATATACATTTTGCATAATTTTTTGGCTTGTTTTCTCAATTTCCACTAAGAAAATTAGTGGTAATTTTATATTTTCTTGGAAAACAAAGTTTTAAAATTCAGTGTTGCAGATTTTGGGAAATGTGTTAGTTAAAGCGAGAAACAAATAGTACTTCCCCTGTTTAAAAAAAAAGACCAAATTTCCTTTATAGTTTGCTTGAAAAAGAATGACTAATTTCCTTCTTTGGCAACACTTTAACTTCAACTTTCTACGTGGCATGTTTAATGCCACAAGGTTAAATGATATTTTGGTACATTTGACATAACTTTAATTTATAACGACAAGATTAAAAAGTTTTTTTCTTTTCTTAAACTTCGTTCCAAGTCAAACTAGGTTATTTTTTTTTAAACGGAGGAAATAGTTGATTTTTTCTTAAAGATTTTCAAACTCGGTTTTTCAAATTGGGATGTCCTTAAGGCAGTCTCGAACAACATACAAATGTTGGGTATCATTGTAGGTTTAGCTAAAGATAGAGCATAATGAAAGAAAAAACTATTCCAACTAATACAAATATTAATTATTAATGTATAATTGATATTATTGAGTTCAAAAAGTAAGAACAAGTGTTGGACAAGAACTCAATGGCTTCTTTTTTTGGCGATCGTGTCATAGTGGTGTTCCTAACCTCGCCAATAAGGCAGGATTTACACCCTCTTGCCGTTCAAGATCCGAGAGCCCATTTGGATTATGTCACACATAATAAGTTATTTTTTTATATTTTTCAGACACTACCAAAAATTAAAAACTGAGTTAAAAGTAGATTTAATCAACTTTTAAGTCAATCCAAACATCCAAATATACTTGTTGTGTCAGGGTTAACTATTTAGCATCCTTAATTGGGACAAATGTGGTATACTGTATACACCAGTTGCAACAAAGGAACAGTACAAGAATCACAAGTTTTTCTCTAGCTGTAGTATTAATCCTGATCAAAACAACACTCCAACAATTCCTATAGACAAATATTCATATTTCCACATGCTGTTTTCCTATGCTAAATCAAATAATACAAGAGCTTTTCGACCATATATATTATAATCTAAGCAATTCTGAAAATTAGTGAACTTGACCTCCTTCAATTTTAACCACATTTTCTTTCTCATTTCTTGTGGACTGTTTCTATCCCCAAAAAGGTTTTACGATTCGCAAACTGCGTGTTTCTCCTTCTGAAAGATGGGATCATCTCCATGACTCATTTTTTGGCACATTGGTGGTGGAATGTCTAACGCACTTTGAGCATCTAGAGCTTGCCCCCTCTTTACTTTGAACTGAATCTTCAGGCTTTCTATTTGTCCTGCATCGTACAACTCATTTTACGATATAGAAAGAAAAAAGGACGGGTTACCTAGTAGCACAGAATCTACTAGTAGCACAATAGGCAGCTAACGTATTTAACATTAGCACCATAGATTTTTTTTCTAGGGAAGACATAATCGTGATTTTCAAGACGTAACAATTTCTAATTGAAAGTAAGTTAAAAATTCCACACAGATGAAACTCCAAATAAGGGTAACCAAAGTACGAACCTCTCAGCAGTGATGAAGGATGACTGGTTTTCCTTGGGGATACTAGACTCCGTCCAGCTTGCACAGAAATATTCCTCGTCTTCCAAATTCAGACCCATTAAACTCTTATTCCTTGTAATGCAATCAAGTTTTCCTAAATTTAATCTTGGTTTGTACGTATGTATAAAGCCAAATCTATGATCCTTTACTGAAATTGATCCACAAGAAATTAGTTGCATAAGCATATTATGAGGCTTTAGCTTTGATGGAACGCGACACTCTTCACTATCAAGTTTCCTGAGGTTTCTAACATCTGATCTGATGAGAGATATTAAGGTATCTGGTGGAAGTGTGTCTGACTCCACCCGTATATCGGCTGACTCATTCATTCTGTTAACCTGAACCTGATTTCTTTCGTTTTTTTCAACCGCACAAGATCTATCATCCGTTGAAATGCATCTTCTACAACTATCATCATGAGTTGTATTAGCCGTGTTTGTCTTTTCATGAATCTGAACGGAAGCATCAGGCAGGCCATCATACGTATTAGCGCTGTTTGCCTTTTCAGCAGGAAGTGATTGTTCACCATCACAAGTATTCTTTGCACATCTTTCATTCGTGTTGGACGGAGAAGAGGAATCATCTTGGCTTCTTAACAGTGGAGGTTCTGGTAATACTTTTTGATTTGACAAGCTATCATTTTTCGCAGGACTGGATCGACCTACAAAGGAAACAATTGAGGTCTAATTACAACAACTGTGGTTTCTTTAAAAGCAGAAATCATATGTCCCTATTGACAAAAAGAATTTCCAACAGGAAAAAAAACACTGCAGCCAATCTGTTCTCCTAAAAAGTGATAGTGTAGATACCTGACTTTAATTCTTCACAAAGCTCCGAGCCTTTTAGAACGTATTCAGTAGGACGAGCAGGAAGAATTAGATCATCTTCAGAAAGATCATGCCACACAAATCTATTCTTGTAGCTTCTGTGTTAATAACAGATGAGAAAAACTGTATAAAATCCTGTTTGACTAAAAGCAAAAGTATACAACTGTTTAGTCTTTACCTCTTGCAGGACCAAGAATAAGATGAAGCCATTCCCTTGCCTCTCAAAACGTTAAACCTCTTGATTACATCTTCAAGATTGCAACAAGATATATAAATTCAAGATTCGTATTCATCATAAATATATATATATATATATGTCTAAATGTATAATGAGAGCCGCGTGTGTTACCTCTCAAGTATAGACCATCAGGGGAAGACATGGTTACTTCCATGAAATGAGGATGCTCAAGTTGTTGATTTCTACAAAGATAGTATACCACTGGCACTTTTCCATCATTTTGATTGGGCTGTTGTTGTTCATATTTTGGTGATTTCTCAGTCCACACTTTGGCTCTCTCTGGACTCAGCTGCCTATACTTCCGCATACGCTCTTCCATTTCAAATAACCAAGATTCACGTTTAATTGATGGAAAGAAGACACTTCATTTAATTTGGGAAAACACAAAAAGAAAAAATGAATGACACATCTGAAAGAGATCAAAAACAACCATTCTCCATTTCTATTTTGGGAAAAGGGAGAAGTACCTCACTAGAGTATGACTCAAATCTCAGACACATCTTAACTAAACTAAGTTCTATTATCACTAAACTCCTTTTTTTTTGTAATTTTGTACACTTTTTTTGTTTATGTGACATTCAAATATCTCTTACGCGCCTCAACTGCGTGGAGTCACGGGGTGTGCCACATAAGCCAAAAGGTGTACAATATTACAAAAAAAAATGAATTCAGGGGTAATAGAACCTTAGTTTATTTAATGTATATCTCTGAGATTTAAGTCATAATCTAGAGGAGTACTTGTGCGTTCTCCCTTTCTATTTTCATACATTAAGAAAGTAGGCGTTTTTTGTCAATAAATGAGCATAAAAAAGGTGAAATATTTTGATGTACCCCACTATACCAAAAAGTGTAAATCCAACTTTGCAAAAGAAATACGAAAGATAAAATGCCACCACCATTCCCTCAATGAGATACGTAAAGAAAGATATGCTGCCGCTGCCAATCGTGGTAGCTGTTTGTGCTACTTTTCAACTTTAGCTATGCCTTTTTCTTTCTTCTTTATGCTCTGTTAGCTGGACTGATATTTCCCCCCATTCCATACAGTTTCCACCACTTGTCCTAATTGTTACAATGAATTGGTTTGCACTAGCAGTGGGAAATGAGCAAGTCGAATATGAGTCGATCGAAATTAGTTTAATAAAAATGGATAAAGTACTCGACTCAACTGAAATTTTAAATGGGTAAAAACAAGTTACCCAATTGATAATATGGATAAATATGAATATCCATATTATAGTAGAGATTTTGTAAAAGCTTTAAAAACAAAATCTTTTTAAAGTTTTTTTTGAACTCCACCCCTAACAGCCCCATGCCTCCTATCCTAAAAAAACTTAAACAAAAATAGTTTGTTTTTTTTATAAAAAAAATTAATTTTTTTATCACCCAACGACCTACCAGCCCCCCTCCTAGCAACTCCCGCTATTCCAAAAAAAATGTAAAATAATATTAACAAAAAAAATTAATTTATTTTACCACCCCGCCCCATACCCCCTCATCCCAAAAATATGTTTAAAAAAACAATTTTTTTAAATGTAAAAAGTCTTTTTTACCCCCCCCATGCCCCTTATCCCAAAAAAATTAAAAAAACTTATAGAAAAAAAAAGAATTGAAAAGCTTTTTTTACCACCCGACTCCTTACAATTTTTCTTTCTTTTATGAATGACCATCTTTTACCCATTTTATCCATTTAACTAGCCACTTATAAATGAGTGATATGGGTATTATTTATTTTTACCTATTTTTAAATGAGTACCCAACCTATTTAAAATGGGTAAAATATGAGTGGATACTCATATAAATTACTCATTCTGTCACCCCTAGTTTTTACCTATTTTTTAAATGAGTACCCAACCTATTTAAAATGGGTAAAATATGAGTGGATACTCATATAAATTACTCATTCTGTTACCCCTAGTTTGCACTTTTAATTTTCTCATTGAATTCTTACATTTAGATCACTCCCGATAAGATTTGATTCCGACTCTTTCTTTGGGTATTTATATTACTAGTGATTGCTTACCCATTTAATTATTTTAGTGGGAAATTTGGGAGTTATAAAAAATGGTGTGGCTGCCAGTGGTAGCTAAGAATTCAATTTGTGAAGTTAATTTGTAAACTTGTTTGTTTATAGTAGAATATATTGTTGTTTGGTGTTGTTGTTGTTGTGCTCCACTTGTAGGTTGAAACATGAGCGAGAATGGAAGTGACAATGCTAGTCACTATGGTAAAAATTATAACATGAGAGATATGAATGACATGCATATTAATGTCGTCAAAAGTCCAGGAGCAATCCGGCTACCTCCTACTATTAGGAGAGCTATGTTTCCTGTAACCGAAACTATGGTGCAATCGCTCCATATGAGAGGAAAGTTTTGGAGTCTTACTCATGAAGACTCCGTGAAAATCTCCGGAATTTTGTGGATATTTGTGAGCCTTTCGTCTTTAGTAACATCTCACAAGAATCCATACGTTTGAGGTTGTTTCCTTTTTTCTCATCGGGAGAAGCAACCAAATGGCTGACCGAACTACCAAATGACTATAACTTTGTGCGAGGAATTGAAAGAAGCGTTCCTTGAAACATTTTTTTCGCTTGAAAATGGTGAAACTTAAGATAGCATCTAGAACATCAAAAGAGTGGAAGGTGAACCTCTCTACAAGACTTGGTTGCAATTTCAAAAGTTAGTTGCTATAATTCCCAACACATGGTGTTACGAATAGTTTGTTGTTGCAATACTTTTATCGTAACCTTGATATGGTCAACATAGGGTTGGCTGACCAATTCATTCAAGGAGGGCTGATGAGACAACTGTTTGATGTAGCAACAATTTTGCTTGATGATATGACCAAGATAAACCGAGCAACGTCTACTAGGGAGGATCAACTATCTTCTCTACATTTAGGTATGAGCAAGGAAAAAATGGAGAAGATCAATCAGCATGATGAAAATATGACCAAGATGATGACCCAACATGATTTGTTATCCAAACTTGTTAGTGGGTTGATTCGAATCGGTAAACGCAGTTGAAACAAGAAGTGGGTAGTTCCCAGATGATGCCAAATTTGAGGCATTATACAATGAAGAAGTGTCATATACGGGGAACCAAATGGGGGGTTCTCATCCGAACTATCCTAGAACGGGTGAGAACCAAGATTGCACTAAGTAAATAGATAATGGCTGGAGAGATTGGCAAGATAAAGGAGGTATTTAGAGAGATCGTTAAGCTAATAAAGATAGATACATACCACCTCATGATCGTCCCAAGCCAAAAGAGCAAGTTGGACTAGAAGGGGCTCAAACCGATGACATGTTGACTAGGACCTTTAACAAAGCTAAAGGATTCGACAAAGTCTTTAAAGACTTGAAAGTAATTTCTCCACTTTGACACAAACGGTTACTTCCCACGATGTGTAAATTAAGTAGTTGTAAACTCAGATGTGTAAAATCTCCACTCATTTAAATCCAAGTCAAAAAGGATTTTTTTCCCTAGTGATACCAACCCCAATCGCAAGAATGATGTTTATTAGTGAAAATTATGTCATTCCACGATGTTAAATAAGGTGCTTCTTGGGAGGCAACCCAAGTTTATTTTATTGCTTTTATTAAAATGTGTTGTAAGTGCAGGTAAAAATGAAGTCAAAAGTTGAAAAAGACACAATATGTGATGCAAATACCCATTCGGCGATCCACTGAGGTTGTTAGGAGGACAACTTCATGTTCGCCTTCTTAGCCAAGAATTTTGAAAAATGGTACTATGTCTTTTGGAGCCATTAGGAACCCCTCGCCCTTCCACTATGCCTTTTGGATCCTCTGCTCCCTCAAACGCACTTCCCCTAAATCTTGGACTCCATTGCCTCAGTCTTTTATCTATCAGATGGACAACCTTTCCCATTTTTCGGATGTTAGGGCACCTTGACTTGAGAAGGAGATGCATGAGATAATTACCGCGATGATTGAGGCTGTTTTATTTCTAGTACGGGCTGAAGTTGTTAGACATAGATGTACTTTAGCTTCATATGGGGAGAGGTTAGACAACCTCACCACTAGAGTAGAGGACCATGCGCGGTGAGAGGGTATCTCTACCGAGTTGATTAAGTTGAAGAGCGATATAGCTTCTCTTAGGTAGATGTGGACCTGATGAGGTCCACATATATTTCGTTGCTATGGGGTGAGGTTCCCTTTCCCCGAGATGCCTGTAGTTTTACCTCCAATTGAGCTCAGAGGAGATGGACCTACTGGGTAGCTGAGCGGCCAACTGGTGATGAGTTTGAGAAGGTTGAGGATGAGGCTGATGATTATTCAGCCATTGAGACTGATGAGGAGGAGTTCGTGTGAGATAATGAGCAGGTTAGTGCGGAGGCCTTAGCTAAGCTGCGGAGTTTAGAGGAGTCGATAGTGCAAGCTATGTTGGAGAGATCTCATCTTAAAATCTCCGCAATTGGGACTAGAGGAATCTGTCTTTCAGAGTCTACTATTCCTCCTTCCAATATGCCGAGCAATAATTCCCCGATTGAGGCTACACTATTGCCTACTACTTCAGATGTTCCAGTTACTAATGCTCGAATTGATGCCATTTCTTCCAAGTCTCAGGATTAGTGTTCTTTACATGCAAGGGGGCTTTTCAGTTATCTTCCTCCAGCACTTATATTTTTTTTATAATATTGAGGACATTTCAAGCTATTTTTTATAGGGTGAGTGCAGATGTGCCTACATTCCCCTTTTGATTGTATTTTGTTTATTTAAGTTGTAGTTTGATGTTTTAACATTTTGGTTTTAATATATTTGGTTGGTATTGGTTTCGTTTTCGTCTCTCTATCAATTGCCCCATAATTTGGAAATGGCTGAGATTTCTTGTGTTTTCATTAATGATATTTAACGATTGATTTTGTTAAATATTGATGTCTTGGATATTTCTGTTGCTTAGAAATGTGCTTTTTGTTGGTTTTGCAAGATGAAATCTATGTTGATTTACTTTTAAATGATCTTTTAGAATCTTGTGTTGACTAGTATCGTATTGATTTGAGCCTTGCAATGAACACCGTACACAAGTTTTTTAATTTTGTAGAGTTGTGTAAAATGATTATATTTGAAGTTTATTGTGTGGTGAGATATGATAACACTCAAATTATCCTAACAACAATTAGAAGAGTAAGCGACCGTCAACACTAAAAATATCCAACAAATAGTTGGAGTCGAATTCTACAAGGAGTGATTCAGTGATAAGAATTCAACTAGAAACTGAAAAATGTAAATTGATTCTTTGTAGTAATAAGACTAATCGGGTGGATGATTCCACTAAATTTACAAACAAAGTTTTGGTAACAATCATCACAATTGAATTAAAAAGAGGGGTTTCACAAGTAAGAGACAATCTAGGGGTGTGTGGAT